AGAGTCTTCTTACTCGAGTTATAACAACACAATTTTGTGCCGACGGCACACACGTGATGCGTCACGGGTTTTTAGCTATACAAATGTAGTTGCTAGTCCCCCGCTCGTCTATGTCAAGCCTCTTGTTTTCGTCTTTAGCAGTTTAGCCTTGTACGCATGCGCACGAGGGACGCCCCCCTCCCCGCCTATTTGCCAAAGAGGGGGAGGGGGCGCACATTCAGCTCCAAACCGACTTCATAGAGAGAAGGCTGCTTTTTTTTTTTTTTTTAAAGCTAAACAAACCTACTGGATTCTGTGCCGGCGGCCTAGCACGTGAAGCGGAGCTTCGCCATTGCCTGAGCCCACGTGTCATGTCATCTCGCTTTGACCAATAGGTGACCAGTAATATAGGCAATCGCAGGGAAGTGTGGGATACGACGGCTTCCGGCTCGACGCACCACGCGGGTTAGCAGCGGCACGTGCGCATTTTCGTATCTCTCCGTTGAAAAAAGCACCTCTACGTGCTATGTCAGTGCTGCAGATGTTTTTTTTTTTTTTGCTAACTGTGATGACGACAAGCTACGAAAGCCATGAACTGTAAGGAAACTTTTTTATCGCACTAAAATGATCTGCAATGCTTTTATGCTGTTCGGGGGGTACTGTCAGTTTGGCTAGCAGATCAGTTGATACAGAGAACAGCTTTCATTGTATGATACGTTACTGCAGATAAAATATCACCATTATAATGATCTCCGAGGATGGTGATGACAGTAGCAGTGTGCTAAGAGTTCATATCGAGATCACTGCTTCAGCCGCCATCATCGGTCGATCGGCATGAAGCGCAGCACTTATTGAGCGCGTTGAGATGTCTTCGTTTTTTTCTTTCCTAGCCTTAAGTGCACTATAATGCATTTCTTAGTCAAAGCCATATGCTTATTTGAACGCTGATCTTGATCAAGCTGCGCTGCACGCTGCACGCTGCACATAAACAATACAGTCAGATATATTCAGCGCCGAATAATCGAAACCCTGCGCTTGTTTAACGCACTTCTTCCCTTTGGTGACGTCCTGGCGCAGTTTGACCATGATAAACGCAAATGGACTCGTCCAGCGCTTCGTGTAAACTAACTATTGAGTGAAGCTTTCCCGTTTTTTGTGCAATGGCCGGCGCTCATCTCGTGCGGCAGGTAGATTTTCCCCGCGCGTTCCCATATCTTTGCTAGGCGCGCCTGCGCGACAATTTATTTCTCGATATAATTTTCGCATCAAATTCATGCGTAAGCTTTTCTGGTGTGGAATACACACGTACCTGCGATAAAATGGTTTTCGCACACTCTGGTTCAACGTTCCGTACCCAAAGGCTACCTGTTGCAGTAGATCTCTTCAGAGCCGCGGCCCACCTAATTTTTCTTCATTCCATGGGAATTGATACCTGCGTTTGCCTTTCACGCTCGAGTTGTAGCAGCCAACGGCTGAACAGATAGATAGATATGTTGGGTTTAACGTCCCAAAACCACCATATGATTATGAGAGACGCCGTAGTGGAGGGCTCCGGAAATTTCGACCACCTGGGGTTCTTTAACGTGCACCCGAATCTGAGCACACGGGCCTACAACATTTCCGCCTCCATCGGAAATGCAGCCACCGCAGCCGGGATTCGAACCCGCGACCTGCGGGTCAGCAGCCGAGTACCTTAGCCACTAGACCACCGCGGCGGGGCGAACGGCTGAACAACCGACCATGGTTTATCAGGACGAAGATAAACGCGTGACCACGCGCGTGAATCCCGAATAATCTGAGGCTTACGGCGGTTCACCGTCGTCTACTCTTCTCGAATCGGAAGCCGGCAGCAGTCGGTGCATCCCACAATCTCTCGCTCTTTTACTGGTCACCTATTGTGCACATTTTGAATCTAGCGGCCGATTTATGACACCGCGAAATCTCTAGAAACGCCACAGCGCGAGCCGGTAAGTCACGTGATTTCGCTTCGGCCAATCAAGTGTAAGCGCGCACACACTTGAAATCTGGCATTGTATATGCGACAATACGTGATCAGCCAATCACATTTGCTAAGGCATGTTGCCAGGCTAGTTGGTTGGGGTTCATCATAAAAGTGTTGTGTATTGTATTCTTTACCTGTGAACGCGCGTACTTAGGCCAAACTGAAAGGTGTGTGAACCGAAGACTTAGGGAACACCAGTACAACGTAAGAAAAGCTGTATCTGATCATTTCGGAATTCACTGTCACAGATGTGGTTGTGCACTTCGTTGTTCTCAATCAGGCTCATGACAGAACTACGCTCGAAATCATTGAAGCCTATGAAATTGACAAAATGGAAGAAAAATGTGCGAGCGTGGCCGCCTTAGCCTTGTCAGCTAAAAAAAAAGTGAGGCATCTAGAATTATCGCTTGATGTTGGCGGGAACTGATTGTCATAACCAGTGATGACACGTGCCTGAGCAGTGCTGTATATTTACACGGTGCTTTCTAGGTTTTATAGATCTACTGTTATTGTACAATAGCCAGTGTACTTGTCACGGTGCGCTATAGTCATATGAATGATGGACAGTTGCACAGACTCGTGTGCCCCCAGTTTCGCTGCCTGATGGTTTTAACGGCGTACAACTGGCCGTTTCATTTAAAGTTCTCTAGACTGACAAGCCTACTAAGACTCCAATTAGAATTGGAAGGAATACCAGCAGCACCAAATGAAACTGAAGAAACCGAGACAACAGACAGGGACAGTTTTGGTTTCTTGTCTCAGTTTCTTCAGCTTATTCATTTAGTGCTGCTGGTATTTTCACCAGAACTATGTTATAACTTGCCCAACGAGCCACCCTAATAAATCGAATTAGAAATCAACAGTGCGAGCAGATATAACCACAAATGAAAAAAAAAATGAATCAGGTGTCAACTTTGTGTACCCCTCCAAGAAGTGTGAAAAGTTACACAGCAGAAAGAAGAGCAAGACAACAATTAGATAACAGGGCAAGAATACAGATGTATGCCAGCAACCTGCGACAGTGAAGTGGGCCTAGGCGGAGAAAGTACCTTGTGTAACCCCATAACAGGGTTTAAGGGAGCACTGACACAAAATTTTGAAGGCGAGATAAGGACCGAGAAAGCTTTATGTGGCGTCACACACAACATCTACGAAATGTCAAGGGTAAATGTGGCCTAGAGCATAATTAAAATGAATTTTCAAATGCATTACACGCGACTGAGCGAGATGCGCAACCCCTCACAACGCCGACAACAAAACGGCAGAAATGTAAACAAACCTACGGCACCATTAGGCTGGATGCTATACTTGGGGACGACTTTCTGTGGCAATGAAAGGAAGGCTACGGAACTAAAGTGGGCGTGTGCCACCACTAAAAAATATAGTCCAACAAATGCATCTAACGTATTCCACGTGAAAATTAAAAAAAAAATTATTTTCAAAGTGTGCAGTTTATAAAGAGATGTTGAGCAAACGAAGGTATCACAATTATTTGTCTTGCTTTATGAAGTGTAATTTCGCACCTCTGAAAACGTCGCACGTTTCAAGTCCACCTCGTAGTAAAAATGGCACCTTCGTGTTTAGGTGAGCGCATGTCCCCCTCCAGCTATTCCGACGACTCGCCGAAGGTGCTTATGTCAAATTTCACTCACAAATGGCTGTGTAAGCAGACGTAATACGTTATATACTGTGGTATTATTCAAACACGGCCGTCATTCGAAAAGCTAGTTCACGTGGACTACTTCGCAGAGGAGTACATCTGCCGTAGCTCCACTCCTCCCTTCATTGCCACAGAAAGTTGTTCCAGCACGCACCTTGCGCTTGTACTATCTGCAATTTCTTCCTCCACTCCTGCGAATTCGCGTGTGCTGGCTGTCAGTGCGGCGCACACGTAACAGCTTTGCGTGGTGACGTGGCCAGCTGTGTTTACTTTGCTACCAGAACTGCTTTATGGCACTGCGAAATCTCTAAAATCGTCACTGCGCGAGCCAGCAGACCATGTGATTTGGCTTCGGCCAATTAAGTGTAAGCACACACATTTAAAGTCTGGCATCGGATTGTGACAACACATGATCAGCTAATTGCATTCACTCGCATGCCCACGGTTTTGCTGCCCAATTTTCACAGCATACCGACTGACCACTGTGCTTTTTTGAAGAGCATAGACACAAACATTTTGCAACTTGTTATAATTTTTTTATGCAATAGGTAGCTTATGACCTTTTTACCACGGCTGGGAACCTCGTTCGCGCAAGTGCGTGACGGTCATTTATATAGGGCACCCAGCCACAATTTTGGTTTCAAAAAGCAGCGAGCTAGGTAGGAGCACTTCCGGTAGCAAAGTAAACACAGCTAGCCACGTGACCACGCAAAACTGTGACGTGGGCGCCGCACACGAGAGCGTGCGCTGTACTGACAGCTCACGCGCAAGAGCAGAGGAGAAAATTGCAAGTAGCGCAAGCGTTAGACATGTGCTAGCAATCAGCCAAAACAACTCGTGACGTAGGTTTGTTTACATTGCTGCAGCGTTGATTTTGGGGTCGGGAAAGGTTCCGCATCTCGCTTAGTAATGTTGCACGCACTTTAAAATTAACTCTAATTATGCTATAGGCCATATTTACCCTTGATATATTGTAAATGTTGTGTGTGTTTCCCTATAAAGCTATATTGCTCAATATCTTGCCTTCGAAATTTTGTGTCAGTGCTCTTTTCAATCCTGTCTGTTACAGCATTACAAAAGATACTTTCTATATCTGTGCCTACTTCAGTGTCACAGGTTCTGCCATGCATCTGTATCCTTGCCCTGTTCTCTAATTGTTGTTTTGCTCTCCTTTCTGCTATGCAATTTTCCACGCTTCCTGCAGGTGTACACAAAATTGACACCTGACCCATTTTTTTTGTCCTTTATGTTTATATCGGCTTGCACTGTTAATTTCCAATTGGAGTCTTTCTAGGCTCGCTGATCTAGGAAACTCTAACTGGCACGGCTCATGCAGCTTTTCAACACAGTGCAACCAGCTGGAGAATAGCCTTCTTCTATTCTTCATCTTAATCATGGACTGAGTACTTTCAATTCCAGAATTTGGTTTCAATATCTTCTGTTGTGCATTTTTCTTCATGTGTCAGCTAACTGACACTTGTAAACTGAATGTGGTGTGGCATCGACAACATTGACTGCCGAGGCCTGATAGAGGGTTGTCGTGCCCGGGCATTTTCCGATTTCATAACTACAGTCATGGCAATGCTGACACCCTAGCACTAGTGCGCAGCGCAGCCATGTCGCAGTCCAGCATACAAAAAATCAGTTGCAAACACTCGGTATAGAAATTCATCAACACAGCACACTGAGTTGACACATGACTCTTCAAGAAGTCATCAGATTGCACTGACAAATAGAAATAATTCTGCTCCAGTCCAACAGGGCAGATTAGCAAGAAGCAAAACGACCCACGCCCAGAGCACTTTCTCTATGTATGGAAGAATATTTCAGCATTTCCATTCTGCACAGCAAACGCAAGAAAGAACACAAATGACACTGGTCAGCAGAAATTTCATGTAGAGGCTTTAGGTCAATCTAATTGTAAAATAAGATTGAAAAATTGTGTTGTAAAAGTTTACATTCTCACCAAAATAGCATTTCTGGTTACATTCTATGTAGTTGCAATGTTAATGCGCCGACTAGCCATCATTATATAAAGGAGTTCAAGTAAAGTAACACTGATATAATGGAGCCAGGTGCTCTAAACGCCTGAGCGAGCAGCAGCATCTACAATATTTTTATATAAGCAGCAATAGAAGCGTGAAATATTTCGACGATAACATTCTACGTCATCAGAATAAGGGCCACACCTAAGTTTGAGCTTTTCATTGCAGTTTTGAAGCCAACATACAAAGAATATTTACAAAGCCTGCTGTCACTTGATCAAGATGTTAACAAAAACCAGATACTATTGTTGCCATTTTCAATGAGAAATTTAATCAACAGTAGGAGGTTATGGTTGGCAGCAGATCACAAAAATGAACCACAGCAGACATGCAGCAAGCAACAGATGATATTGTTGCAACAGAACAAACTTTTATGAATAAATGTCTACTGTGTACAACACTACTGTCTCGTGTTGCACATCATTAGTAATAGTTCAGGTGTGCTATGTTGTTGCACCTATGACACCACAGAGATGACTGCGGAGATGACTGCAATTTCCATATGAACAGCATGACAACAATCTATGAGAAACACAGTGAAGGACACAGGGATGGGGAAAGTTTGAATATAGAAACTGAAACAAAAAGAAAGATGAATCCATGTCCAAAGCTATGTTGCTCGGATGAAACTTATCAGGCTGGACAGAATAGTTTGCTTGAGATGTCTTTCACTTCTTCAACAACACTGAACCTTGTCAGCATACGTGATATGGTATCCTTTCCCAGGGGGCTGCTGGAATACCAGACAGCAGCTTCATAGTTGCACATTCGGTCTGGCAACATGTAGTATGCCCCCTGCTGAGACTTGACATTGTCTGGACTGCAATGAAATAGAAACCAGTAGTGAATACTAGCATGTTTTGTATAAAATGTTTGTTTCATTTGTATTGCTTCATTCACTAAAACGAAAGCCACATCCATGAAGAAATTACAGCAATGTCTTGCTTCATGAATGCAGGTATATATTCTAATATTTGCTGTTCAAGCCTTTTTGTTCAGTCACATCCATCAATTTACTCACCATTTCGAGAGATGAAACTTTAAAAGATTCAGAGGACAGCTGTTTACTCACCATTTCGAGAGATAAAGTTGATACAGCTTTACTGGACATCTGAGTGGATTCTCCAGATTCTGTGGTTGATCACAACACACCTTTTTGCTCCCTTGTTCTGAAAAAAAAAAAAAAAAAGAGTCTTATGCGTGAACTTAGAATTATACAAGTAAGGTTTTATCAGCACTGAGAAATCTCCCAAAACAAAGTGCAGGGAATGAAAGTGTGTGCTGGTAAAATTGGCGCAATATCACAAATGTAATGTTCAAGATGTCGGTTTTTTTTTGCCATCATACTTTTTATTTTGATTACCCTTTTTTATTGCTTCTTCACTTCAAACCACGACCACAATTAAACTTTCCCATGCTTTTACTGACTTCATGTGGCCAACCAAATGATAGCCAGCTTTCTTTGCAAATATTTCAGCCATTCAATCCAGCCACTTGCTGTCTTAAGGGGAGATGCTACTCGAAAAACGATTTTCTTTAATAAGAGTCTGAATTTAACACAAATTGGCATGCTAATAGAGTTTTTTCTCCTCTTTTCAAATATGTCATTTATTTTCATGTAGATTGCTTGGTTTTCTTTCTGCAGGTCAGATACTGCAAAATTATTGCCATTGTTATGCAACAATTCTGACCTACAAAAATTTGAGATAAAGCATGCAGATATAGCTGACTATGATCCTTTGGAACTGTAGAGTGCAAAAAACTATATAAATTTTGTGTGTAAAAAGGTGAAATACAATAATAAAATAGAAAAATTTACTATGGCTCTAGTTGCCAAGGGCTTTCAGTGTTATGTAATTTTTGAAAAAAATAATCAAGCAGCACTGACAATCTGAATAGATACTTGCACTCTATGGGCCTTCATCATGCTATGTGCAATTTCATAGAGGTATGACAATTCTAAGTATACGAACTAGCGTGTATAAGAAGCACACATCACACAAAACTGCAAAAGGAGAAAAACGCATTTGAAAGTTTGAAACTTTTTTTTTATCACAGAGTTGTTAGAAATGCATAATCTTTGGCCATAATGTTCAACAGAACTTTGAAGAGCACTGCAAGTTACTAGAACTGTCCTGCAGCATAGGTTGTGCCCTCACGGTCCTTGCGAGCACCCTCTTCTAGCCGTGCCCTTTTCGCTCCACGAGGACGGTGGGCCCTTGCTTCTGCTGTCAGACGCTCGGACATTCTCTTGATGCGCCTCGCATCACGAGAATCACCGAAAGTAACTAGATCTCTAGATGGCAGTATGTTGAGCTCTTCCAGGATGTGCTCGAAAGTAGCATGACCCTTGTTGAACCACAGGATTGCCATAGCTGCGGCAGTCTCGACAACCGTTCGGGAGACAAACTTAGTCTTGGGGCAAAGTAGCCAAATTTTGCTGTTCAGGGATTCCGATGCGTTCTGGGTTTTCCCTTTGATGCATCGAGCAAAGACCTTCTCATCCGTTAGCCGCTTATAAATGGGCAAAACAGCCAATCCCTGTGCTTTTGTTAGGAGAGGTGTGTGGCGTGGTGCAGGTTCACCAAGTGCTTCAGCGCGTTGATGTTTGCACCACGACTCTGTTCCTGCAGGGCAAAACTTGTGGCTGCCAGCATTGTCAGTAGAGCATGAGTGGAAGTACGAAGCCCATACTGCAGTGTACATATCCCGCACACTCCCCCTGTTGCTTGTTATGGCAATCTGATAGTATGTTTGGAGCTTCTGAATGACTGGCTCTTTCATTTTCTGCCCTCGTGGTAATGGCACATGCAGCTTCCGTAGCGCGGTGCCAAGTCTCTTGGCCACATGATTAGTGCAGTCTTCTTTTTCTATATTGACAGCACCATAGACTTTTGACTCTGCAACTGCACTATATGCTTTGCTGTCACCGTCACTCAAGAATGTCATGAAATGCAGTGGGGTGTCATAAGTCAATGTTCTCTGCCAAATGCGCATTGCAGCCTCCGTTTCCATGGCATGGGAGGAACAGTCTGCATTTTTTTCACAGACTGGGCCATGGAATGCCTGCCACACTTCCTCGTCTGGGCCCATATCCTTGTGCCTACTGCATGTCAGGCAGTAATTTGATATGACCTCGAAGTCTAAGCAGAGGCCAGTATCTAAGGAGATAACTGCACCAATCCCGTTGTGGCTTTTGTGGCCCCTCTTCTGCCAAGTGCCGTCGAACATAACAGCCACATCAGTTTCGCCTGCTACTTCTTTCGTCAACTCTCTGGATCGGTGCAAGTTTTCACTCACAGCTGACATGGCAGCGGTGTGCACCTTCTTTGCTATCGAAAAAAATCCTCAGTGGTGCATTGGCTTTGGGAGTCCAATTATAGAGCAAAATCTCGACAATTGCTCATGCCCAATGCCGACAGCGCGTGCAGCCACCACCGCCTTCACATTTACAGCGAAACTATCTCGGGAGCTCCCACTGTCGTACCGTTGGCTCACTCGGCTGCTGCCGTCCGCCGTAACACGCAGTGACATATAGGAGCACAAAAGAACAGTCGCTGAGCATTCGCTGTTTTCGCAATGAAGTTCGAGGAGCGACGAAAGTCCCTTGCGCTTTTCTGCCGGCTCCTGAACTACAAGTTTTTGAATACCGCAAGCAGGGCATGCCGCACCTGCCACAAGTGCCGTCAGCAAGAGGGTGTCGCACAAAACTGTCGTTGCACAAACCTCATCGCGCTTTCTTTCGTCTTTTTTGAAGAAGCCGAGCTTCTTTTCCGAAGCACTGACGAAAGAAAGCGCAGCGTCAATCCCTTCATCGCAGCCACTGTCGCTCGCGCACTCGTCGATGCCACCGTCAGGCCTAGCACACATAGGCGCGTTCTCGTTCGTCGCCGTCGTTCGGGGCGCTTTACGCCGCCTTCCCTTGAACTTGTGCTTCGTTCGAAACTTCTGCGGTCTCACGTTGCACTTTTTCGGGCTTGTCATCGCGGAAATATGCGTAGACGCGCAGAAAAGCAGACGGACCAAATGTCGATGGCCGCCACCAACACAGCTGACAAAGACTTGGTAGCCAATGGCGATGCGGCTTAGGGTGCCGCGCGTTTCAAACCGCTCAAACCACGTGATAAAAAGGCCTCGTTTTTTATTTTTTGTTTGCCCACGTACAAAACTGGCGGTCGTCGGAGGTGTAAGAAGAAGGCCGGACGCAACTTTCCCAACCGATCGCGATGGCGGGCGGCACTGCGATGGGGAGCAGCACTGCGATGGGGAGCAGCGCGCAGTCAAAGATGGCCAATATCGGCGCAAATTCACGAAATTTTGAGCCACCGTGATGCCTTCATACACATTTTTTTGCATTTTGCGGTTCGAATTTAGTTTTGAAATTTTCACAGATGAAAGAAGAAGGTTTGAAGATTACAATGCAATAAAAATCAGAAATACGAGAAATTTCGCTAAAAACGCGATTTTTCGACTCGCATCTCCCCTTAAAGGGACACCTAAATACTTAAAAAGAAAGAAACGAGGTTATGGTTTTATGATCCGTAATTTCACGCAGCGAACTTGAAAATCAAGTAAAAAATTTGCTTTAACCAACACCAAGCAACTTTAGTTTGCTGAAAACAAGCAACAGGAGCTGCGTCCGCCATCGTGAGTCTCACCGCCGCCTGTGATTGATCGAATCTGCATGACATCACGTGCGGGGCGGTGAGGACAGCTGACTGCACTGCCGGCAATGCCAAGTTTATTTGTTCAAATTGAGTAGTTGCTGTTATTATGGTCAGGTATGGAAGTCTTAACGAGTTTGCTGTACATCTGTACATTTTTGAGCCGGTCACCACTGTAAAAGCAACGACCGAAGAATATGGCACTGCCGATTTTGCGGCACAGGAAAGTGAATCCCAACTAGCCACCTTCACCCACGCCAGAAACATAAGACTGGTGCGTATAAGATGCTTGTGAGTTTAATTTCACTGTAGTAAACTGATACAAATGATATGTTCAACCGTAGATATTAAATCTGATAAGGAATAGCAGCATTGGCACTCGCTTTTAGCCGCATATTGGCAAAGTCCACACTACATGCGAGCGTCTTGCAGAAACATCAGCTGTTCGTAGATTTTGCTGGTCATAGTGCAACATTGTTGATGCAGTCAGTATCACCCTTTGCAGCAGGCAAGAAGCATGCGATGAGTCAGTGGGCTACCGCGAGGACAAAAAAAAAGGCCGCACGAGTGCCGAACTTTGCCGCTGTGGTGACATGTGTTCGGAACAGCCGAGCAAACTTGCAGATGGATAGTTTGGCTGCACTGTTGACAATACCTTCGCTTTTTCTAGATTCTGGCCAGTAGGACAGTGATGACTGCAGAGAATGTTAAAATGCAAACAGTATATAAGCTGCGTTAGAAGCATGCGACTGTCGTGTAGAGTGCCTGGTTTCAATGCTGCGTACTGACATCTGTGTACACGTATTTTTGCCAAATGTACGCACGCACTGCATCCAAAAGAGGGAAGAGGAGGGTACATACAAAACAAGACGTGCCTGAACATTCATGCTGGGATATTATTTTGCAGTCCCACTTTTTTTTTTTTCTTCACAGTGTGATAAAAATACCATCACCTCGATTTACAATATACTAATATGTAGTGCGTCTGCATAAATCAATCTCAACACAACTGCTATGATGAGCCCCATTCAGCACAGTGCAGGTTGTAAACAGCAGCACTATGTTGTACAGGCTGAGTTTCTGAACAAGAAAGCTAGGGGCATGAACACTTTGTGTGCCAGAAATACATAAGTACTATACCAGCGGCCGGCGCACAGGCACCGCCGGACACGTGACATAGCCGGTCTCGTAATCAACAGTCTCGTCTTGGTCAACGAAACAATATTCTCGTGGTCAACCAAAACGTGCGCCTGCGAAAAACAAGATGTGCTTTACTGAAACACAGAAGTGACACGCGGGCAGCATGACATCGCATGTCTGTCACTATGTCAACGTGTTACGATTTACTTATTCTTTCTAGAATTGGGAAGAAACTTATTAAAGGACAGTTTGGCGAAATTCGTGATATATGCGAATATCAGATTGTCGGTTGCTCCAGCAATTTGTACACTTATACTGCTGGCAGAGTACTTGCCTGCAACGGCTACTTCGAAAACTAAGTTCGA